AAAAAAAAAAAAAAAAAAAAAAAAAAGAAAGAAAGAAGAAAGAAAAATTAGCTAGGTGTGGTGGTGCCATGCCTGTAATCCCCGTTACTTGGGAGGTTGAGACAAGAGAATCGCTTAAACCCAGGAGATGGAGGTTACAGTGAGTCAAGATCACATCACTGCACCCCAGGAAAAAAATTAATTTACTCTGTTAAAGTATACAATTCAGTGGTTCCCAGTGTTATTCACTATGTTGCAAAACTATCACTACTATCTAATTTTGGAGCATTTTCATCCCCCTACCCATTAGCTGTCATTTCCCATTTGCTCTGCCCCTCAGTTCTAGGCAACCAATATTCTGCTTTCTGTCTCTATAAATTTGCTTACTTTGGACACTTCATATAAATGGCATCATGCAGCATGTGGAGTTCTGTGACTGATTTCTTTAACTTGCGTTTTCAAAGTTCATCCATGTTGTAGCATGTATCAGTACTTCATTCCTTTTCATGGTTGAATAATATTCCTTTGGGTGGATATACCATATTTTATCCATTCCTCTGTTGATGAGCATTTAGGTTGCTTCTACCTTACGGCTATTATGAATAATGCTGCTATGAATGTTAGTGGTCATGCTCTAAGGAGTGAAACCGCTGGGTCATATGGTAACTATGTTTAACATTGTGAGGAACTGCCAAACTGTGACTGTTTCATTTACACTCCTGTCAGCAATTTTGAGACTTCAAATTCTCCAGATCCTCACCAACACTTGTTATTGGCAATCTTTTGAAATCTTAGCCAACCCAGAGGGTGTGAACTATATCACACTGTGGTCTTGATTTGTATTTACTTTATGATGAATGATGATGAGTATCTTTTCATGTGCTTATTGGCCATTTGTGTATCTTCTTTGAAGAAATGTCTATTCAAATCTATTACCCACTTTAAAATTTTAGTCTTTTCATTGTTGAGTTGTTTTTTGTTTTTTTTTTTTGAGACGGAGTTTCACTCATGTTACCCAGGCTGGAGTGCAATGGCGCGATCGCGGCTCACCGCAACCTCCGCCTCCTAGGTTCAGGCAATTCTCCTGCCTCAGCCTCCTGAGTAGCTGGGATTACAGGCATGCACCACCATGCCCAGCTAATTTTTTGTATTTTTAGTAGAGACGGGGTTTCACCATGTTGACCAGGATGGTCTCGATCTCTTGACCTCGTGATCCACCCGCCTCGGCCTCCCAAAGTGCTGGGATTACAGGCTTGAGCCACCGCGCCCGGCCTTTTATTGTTGAGTTGTAAGAGGTCTTTGTATATTCTAGATGCAAGTCTTTGAAATATGGTCTGCCTTTTCACTCTATTTCAAAACTATCATATCCAAATCAGCCCAAATCTTCCAAATCAAAATCTAAACCACTGAGCTTGTAAGGCACTCATTTGAGATGATTCTACAGAAACACTCATGTAAGTACATGAGGACACACACACAGTGCTTCCCACTGCAACACTTTTAATTGTGAAATATCAGAATCAACTTAAATTTCCATCGATCAGGGACTAGTCAACTCCTGGTCAATCTGAGTGGCATGAGAAGATGCTTTGCTTTATATAGCGGCATATGATCTAAATTTTTTTCAATTAAAAAATTTTTTCAGCCGGGCGCGGTGGCTCACGCCTGTAATCCCAGCACTTTGGGAGGCCGAGGCGGGTGGATCATGAGGTCAAGAGATCGAGACCATCCTGGTCAACATGGTGGAACCCCGTCTCTACTAAAAATACAAAAATTAGCTGGGCATGGTGGCGCATGCCTGTAATCCCAGCTACTCAGGAGGCTGACGCTGGAGAATTGCCTGGATCCAGGAGGCGGAGGTTGCAATGAGCCGAGATCACGCCATTGCACTCCAGCCTGCGGAACAAGAGCGAAACTCCGTCTCAAAAAAAAAAAAATAAATAAAAATAAAAATTTTTTTCCTGGTCAATCTGAGTGTTATGAGAAGATGCTTTGCTTTATATAGTGGTGTATGATCAATTTTTTTTCAATTAAGTATGCCCTACTTTTGGAATTTTAAAAAAATCTACATCACTTTCTGAAATTAAGGTAATATCATCTACAACTGCAAGCATATCATTAAAACAAAGTTGTTTGAAGTAGACTAGACAATGCTTGTCATTAGGTCAAAATCAGGAAATCAGTTTGTTTTCAAGCAAAAGGATTATACCTATAAACATCAAAAATGTCTTTAACATTTTAATTATTTGTGAAAGAAATATTTTCTAAGTGCACTGCACACTTTCTTGTCTTTTTTTTTTTTTTTTTTGAGATGAAGTGTTGCTGTGTCACCTAGGCTAGAGTACAGTAGCATGATCTTGGCTCACTGCAACCTCCACCTCCCGGGTTCAGGCAATTCTACTGCCTAAGCCTCCAGAATAGCTGGGACTACAGGTGCACACCACCATGCTTGGCTAATTTTTGTATTTTTAGTAGAAACAGGGTTTCATCATATTGGTCAGGCTGGTCTTGAACCACGGTATCTGTCAGGCAATCCACCCACCTCCGCTTCCCAAAGTGCTGGGATTATAGGCATGAGACTGCGCCTGGCCACTTTCTTGGCTTTTCTTTTTCTTTTTTTTTTTTTGAGGTGGAGTCTTGTTCTGTCACCCAGGCAAGAGTATAGTGGCGTGATCTTGGTTCACTGCAACCTCTGTCTTCTGGTTCAAGAGGTTCTCGTGCTTCAGCCTCCCAAGTAACTGGGATTACAGGAACCTGCCACCATGCCCAGCTAATTTTTGCATTTTTAGTAGAGACAGGGTTTCACCATATTGGCCAGGCTGGTCTTGAACTCCTGACCTCAGGTGATCTGCCTGCCTTGGTGTCCCAAAGTGCTGGGATTACAGGTGAGAGCCACTATGCCTGGCCGTCTCTTGCCTTTTTTTTTTTGGCCAGGGGGAAGACGGAGTTTCACTCTTGTTACCCAGGATGGAGTACAATGCCGCCACACAGCTCACTGCTACCTCCACTACCTCTGCCTCCCGGGTTCAAACGATTATACTGCCTCAGCCTCCCAAGTAGCTGGGATTACAGGCATGCACCACCACACCCAGCTAATTTTGTGTTTTTAGTAGAGACAAGGTTTTTCCACGTTGGTCAGGCTGGTCTCAAACTCCCCACCTCAGGTGATCCACCCGCCTCAGCCTGCCAAAGTGCTGGGATTATAGGCAAGAGCCACTGCACCCGGCCGTCTCTTGCCTTTTTAATGCCCACATCATCTTGGTATTTCAAGATCAGTTTGCTCATGAGTTACTATATTCAGCTACAGCAATGATAATGCATCCAATGGCTATGAAATGCATTTTTATAATTTTCTGAACGTGTAGACTTAAAGAGAAGTCACCTGACTAGACACGTACTTAAGTGACACCATCATCTCTGCCTACTGGCACTTATGGTGGCCCTTCTCAGGTACCCTTAACAGGGCACATCAACCACTCATTGTAGTATGGCTCAGAGCCACAGGGGTGTGTGTGTGTGTGTGTGTGTGTGTGTGTGTGTGTGTGTGTGTGTG